GTTCCTAATGTATCACAGTGTGTATTTCAATGTGTAGTCCTTTGTTCTTTAAGGAGGGGAGTATAAAAACTGAAGTCTAATCACGCCCTCCTCGTTCAGAATTGCCTATCTCTAATATGCTCTGGACCTTGCGCAATTAAACTTCTCTGCTAACCCCTCCGGAATTCGTAAGAGTTCTTTCGTTTTCCACAAGAATTTTAAGTACGTAGCATTTATTAATATATCCCAAAAGTACTGCGTTTGGAAACTAATAATTAAAAATACTGGCAGAGTACTCAATACTTACAAAGATAATTGAAGAGTCACAGAAATGTGTTTTCCTATCTTCACGATTTAAACAGATTTTGGACAGGCTATGCTCTAATCGATGTAAACGGGGTTATTTGGCTTGTGTCTCAGCTTCAAGAGTGCTCTAATTAGATGATGGGCCTTATTGCTTGTTAGAAATTGGGTGCTTTATTCCGGCTTAAACCGGTTTAATTATTGATGGGAGCAAAGAGATAAATGGGCATAACGAGTTTAAGCAACAAGATTTAATGGCTGCACACATCTCTCGCGGTTCATCTGGAAAAGGGAATCTGTCCAATTAAGGAACAAATTAACTCTTTCCTTATTCGCCCATTCACTTATGGCAACGAAAGTAATCCGGAACAATTAATAATTGGCTGGACGTGGGGAGGGGCACATAGAAAATATATGAGGAGGGGCCACGATCGCGCCCCATTTAGGAGATAAAGCCGAGCCAACAAGGCGGATGACGCTGGTTCTACGGTGGCGGATCCGGAAGAGGCGGGCTCGCGAGTGTGGATGGACGAAGGTGCCGGGGCCTGTCTGGATGATTGTCTGACTGCAGGACGAGCGATGTGGGGGGTGAGCAGCGGCGGGAGGGGCGGGAATCCTCTTCTCTGTATGGGGAGGTAGGGGACGAAGACGGTCAGAGAGCCACAGGTTACGAGGCGTCATGAAAGTAAGACGGACATAGCAGGCCCGGTCCCAGGTTGTGACGCAGCGAGGCTGAACCGGGTCAAGTGAGGTTGAGCGTGCTGTTGGCAGAGTGGCGGGGTGTTGTTTCGGGTACTCTGAATCGGCGGAGGGGAAAGAGGGAGGGGGACCTAAGAACGCCTGTCTTTTCGCGCCGCGGCCGCTTCTCCTTTTCCATTGTAGGCCCCTCACGAAGGCCGGCGACGCAATGTGGCGGCGTCGTCGTCTTTGCCGGCAGCCGGCAATTAACACCGCATCACCTTCGGGCCGCTTTTCTAGAGCATTACAAAACTCCAAGAGGCACTCAGCAGCGCGGCCTCTTCCTTTTCTTCCTTTGGGCCCTAATCTCAACCTTTTTTGCGCGCCGGCTACCGAATGCCGCGTTCCTTCTTTGTGCAACGTTTGTTCACTTCCAATTCGCTGTGCTCCTGGTTGATTATGGCTCACCCGTTGAGCTTTCCGGGCTTCTTAGTTGCCGTTGGCCTGCTGTGTTCCGCCTTCGAATGTGCACCTAACAGTCCCCTGCCCCTCCCGCAAATCTCATACTGTGGCCCTTTCCTTTAGGCTTACCTCTTTCGTGTTTGGCAGGAAAGAGATTGATGTTGAAGTGGGTATCAGCGTTGTTCAAGTGGGCAAAAACCTGAAGTTTACCGCCAGTTGAATTTATAACGATTTACACTGGTAAAATTTTCACTACTTTAGTTTTTTTCAGCCATTCAGGATTAAATAGTGGAGGACCCAAGAATGTAAATTCGTATCTGGAAAGTAGGCAGGTGCTTTAGTTCTGCACCAAATTCCTATTCCAGTAATGAATCACTTTTAACAAGCTATTCATCCCTTCATTGTACCTGCTTAGCTTTTTAACTATTGACATACACATTGTCGTCTTTAAGTTTTCTGTTTCACTCTTGGCCACCATGGGTTTTTTCCCCTTATTTCTTGAGTTGTTTCACTAATGACAAATAGCATTTTACTTTAGAGAAAAGCATTTGAGTTAATTAAATTTCTAACCAACAAAAGCTTTTTTAAGCAAACTGTTGTGAAAGCCTATCTTTTGAAGTGCAGTTGAATTTCATCATATGGAAATTATTGTTGATACTCTATTTGTCTAGTTAGCATAGAAATGTAGCACAGTAAATTAATGATTATAAATGTCCTTTCAGTGATTTTTATGTTATGTAAAACTTATAGTTATTTCCTGCAGCTCTTGGAATTTAAGTGTGGATTGAGAAACAATTTTCTCACAAAATATATGCATCATAGAATGTTTCTATTTGGCTAGTTGTGATTTGTAGGTATAGAAATAAAATAAGCTATTGTAGTTTGTTGATTGGTTCTTAGATAAGGGAACTGAGGAAACCAGGATTCAGATTGTCATTTATTCATGATCAATTGCTGTCTCTTGATCTAATTCTATTGTCTCAGGTTTAAGTTTCAAAGATATGACAATTCTAATATATGTAAGTCTAAAATATGTTAATATATCAGGGCAATTTTTAACTGGAGAAGTAGTAAAAGGCATTATTTAAAAGTTTTAGAAGTTTTCACTTCTAAAAACTAGAATGACTTGGTGCCCAGTGAAATAGTTACAATAAGTAGACATATTTAGATTGATATAATTTATTATAGTAAGACTATTCTGCTGTCCTAGATTTCTATTGATTTTGCTGTAAGTATTTAGTGTACTTTGGAAAAATCAGAATTCTCCAATGGGAGAATTTCTAAAAGTGCATCTATGGTAAACCAGGGGTTGTCAAACTTTGTGCTACTGTGATTAATATATACAGATTTTTAATCCATGAATAAAATGAATAATTTTACTGAAGATAAGATTGGGCATCAAATAAGCAACTTTTAGTAGTTAAATTTTCATGATTATATGAAAAGGATTCTTACGCTTGGGTGATCTGTATGTTGAAAGCAGGAGCTGAATCCTACAATAGATTTTCCTATTGTTCAAACAAGCCTGATTAAGGTATTTTTTTAAAGTCCCACTCCCCACAAAGTTGCTCTCAACCTTAGGATGGGGGATGCCTTGAATCCGTAATAAGTGAACCTTTCTGATAAAGAATTTGCTATTTTGGAGCACATCTATGACAATACTTACAACACTAAACAAATTAACTTAATTGTAAACTTGAGTATTATATGAAACAATTAGCAAAAGCAGAGCCATCTAGTTGTGAAAAGGAATATTGTTAGTACATGTAAAAACTTACTCTTTGAAGTTCACTGTAAGTGAATTTTTTTTAATAAATTAGTTTTCTAAGGGATGTGTCTGTAATATTTATTTTTTAACATGAAGGGACTAATTATAAATTCCAAGGAATGCTCGTACTTTCTTAGGATATTCACAGGAAATGAGATGGAGAAATGCCCTTTTCTTGACATTGTTTCCCTGCAAATAGTAAACTCAGAAATAGTTTGAGCCTTCAGGACTATTTGGTAGATTGTCCTCCATAAATGTATCTAAACTTCCTTTAAAATCATCAGAATTACTGATTGTCATATTTGTGGATTAATTATGCTTTCTGTGAGTGACTTTTCTAAATTTTGTTGTCTTTGTTGTCTTTTTTAAAATATTCAGTTTCATTAAAAGATCACTATTAATGATGTAACAGAATAAAACACTTCTCAACCACTTTCTCCTTTCCAGGCATAATTTTATATACCTCAGTCTGTCATCTTCATTAGTTTTTTTTTATAAGCTAAGTAGCCTCAAGCCTTCAAGACTTTTTTTAAAAAAATATTTCAACCTAATCATTTTAGTTACCTGCTTCTGCACTTTTTTTGCTCTGTGATGTCTGTGCATGGTATTTCAGATGAAGATTTACCATAGATCTGAATAAAGACAATACAGTATTGGAAGTTTTATTTTTAGTTCCATTACTAATGAACCCAAGATTGGAATTTGCTGTTTTCACAATTGCTAGATAGTGAATTAGTATCTTCATTTATTTGACCACTCTAATTGCTAGAACTCTTTTCTGCCTTTTTTTTAATAAAGAGCTCAGATCAATGCATACATGAAGTTAGCGGATTTTTTTTGCCCTATTTTCTAATAGATTGAATATTCCCACATTTCAGAGATTCTTGTGAAGTACTCACATTAGTTTTTGCCTTTTATCACCTTGAGTAGTTTGGCAAAATTTACAAATTTAGCTGACTCGTTGTCTCATTGATTTCAAGACAGAATCTTAAGGAACAATACTATTTACTCTTATGTATTGAGGAGATTGCCCATTGCTTTGTGATTTTATATTTTTAATCAGTTAACAATCTGTAAAAAGACAAGTCATCTTATTCTATAACTGGTAAATTTACTGAAGAATCTTTTGGTGAGAATTTTATCAAAGACCATTTGAAAATCCAGGTTATACAATAGCACTTAGACTTATATACTGCTTCATAGTGCTTTAAAGCACTCACTAAGTCAGACATGTCAAACGTCACGTGATGTCGCACAACGTATCGGGACGGTTTTGCCATTGCCGGCAATGGGGTGGGCACAGCTTCCGGATGAGGCATCTGGCCCACGGGCCAGCAGTTTGACACCCTTGCTCTAAGCGGTTTATAGAATCAGCATATTGCCTCCAACAATCTGTGTCCTCATTTTACCGACCTCAGAAAGATGGTAGGTTGAGTCAACCTTGAGCCGGTCAAGGTCGAACTCTTGGCAATGGGCAGAGTTAGCCTGCAATACTGTATTCTAATCACTGTGCCAATGCTATTCAATGCCACGTATTTGTATGCCACTCAATAGTTGTAGCAAATGCCACTCAAAAGTTGCTCAATGCCACTTCTACTCATATGCCCGCTAATACCTCAATTTTTAGAAATTTAGAAATTTTACTGCTATTAACTTCTTGTTCTTTTTTAAAACTGATGTCACATTGGCCATATTTCATTAATCTGGCATTAAGCCTTATTTGAAAAACAAAGCTATATATGTATTTGTTTGCAATGTTTTTGTTAGGAAGTTTGTAATTTTATTTATTTTAGAAATCTTTTGTGGATACCAAAAGTGCTGGTGATTTATTATTAATTGTAATAAACTAGCAATAAAATACCAGATTCTGCAGTGCTTCACATTCGGAAGAAAAAGAATATTTGGAGAATGCAGAGTCATATAAGTAGCTTTTGTGAGCAGCTCCTGAAATCAAACTTATTTTCCCCCAGGATTTGTTGTAGCTGCATAGAAAGTTAGCAAATTCAGAGAAAAGATGAGGCTATTTTTAGAAGTTTGCTATATCCTTATGCTCTAATATAGCTAATCAGTAATTCCAAAGGAGAGTGAATACTTAAGGGAGAAATATAAAGTATTTAGTTTCTGCCTATTGTCTTTATATGCTTGAGCATCTCACTATTTTATTATTACTAAAATCTTCAGTGGCAAATTTTCTGCATCAGATCTTCACTGAAGAAATATAAAGCTTGTATTTGTTACTAGCACAACAATGATTGGCTGATGCTGATTAAATATAAGTTGGTACTGGAGAAATTGATTCTCTGAATCTGATATTAATTATCACTTACATTGGTTGTGTTATACTGTCTGCTTTTCCCCCTGAATTCTTCCTTAGAATTGGCTTCCAATTTTACAGGTTCCTGAACACTAGAATTATACTGACCTATTTATTCATGAATTGTGGAATATATTTCACTTGAACTTACAGTTAAATATGGCTCTGTTCTGTTGGCAAATACTTAGGAGCAATGTAATAGCATTATGATGATAGATTCCAGTGATTTACAGCATGAATTGATTTATGATTTCTGGGGTATTTTTAGGAGAAACTTAAATTCCTTAGATGTGTATGAATTCATTTGAAATCAAAGAATAAGTCATGGCCAGCTTAGTTATATTAAATTCAATGTTTTTTAAGCTTTTCAGCTTGGGTCCAACCTGTTCTTCTAACCCTTGCTTTATCTTTTGATGTTACACAGTGTTATATGTGATGTGTTACCATATTGTTTACGGTATTCTGATAAAATTACATAGCCAGCAAGGAAGCCCCAGAGTTAAATACAATTGGCAGCGATAGGACAGCTATAACAACTTGCAAGTAGCAAATAGTAGACCAGGTTTTGGCAGCAATTAATGGAGGTAACTTTGAACTATAGGCAGTCCTCAATTTATAACAATTCATTCACAACTGTTCAAAATTATTACAGTGCAGAACAAAGGAACTTGCGACGTGTGCTCAAAAGTTACAGCACTTGCAGTGGATCAGGTGATGAAAATGTGGTCACTTGACATTTTTTGCCCTTACAATCAAACACAGAGATTCTGCAATTCTGCTCATCCACCTCTTTCTCCTCCCTTTTATGCCTAAAATTCCAAGAAGCTCCAAAGACTTTCATGAAACAACCACCCCCCACCCCATTTCCATACAAAAGATCAAACATCTGGGAAACAATAGCCTTTTCCTAGTTGTGGAGTAGCATAAACCACTTCCAGACAGAAAGCTGACAGGCCACTGCAATAGTGCAAACTCCATTCAGTTCAAAACCCAACTGGTATTCATTTACATGCCATGGTGTTTTAATTCCTGCTATTTTCTTTATTATCATTTCAGTCTCATCTATTTTGGTCATCTTTGTAGTACAGGTACTTTAAACAGCATTTTGGGGTTGATTATTTATTTATATAGTACTAATATTTTCTAGGGACTCTACAAAAAGTAAAAAAAAAAAAAGCACAGTTCCAGTCTTCAGGCCTAAAGTCTAAAACTATGAAAACAATGGGCAAAACAAATATTAGACACTAATTCTTTGCAAGTGATTCTTTGCATCAGAATGTTTATTGAAAGCGGCAGTCCTGAAAAACACAGCCCCAGCAGCAACTAATATAATAGGCAAAACAGTCAAATGTCAAATTTTCCTGTAAACATAAAATATAATTGAAAAATTATTTAAAATATCCTTGTTTAAGAGTTCCTTCTGGTGGAGAATGTCAGCTTGATACTCTCTAAATGCTGCAATTAGAAAGCATGAACATGGTATGTTAGATGTTATGAATATACATCATTGTTGACCCTAAAATTTTGATCCTCCAGTGTTTAGATAAAATGGCTTAAAGCCAGCTAACTCACTGCTGTGGATTTACATATTAGAATAGAATAGAGCTGGAAGAGACCTTGGAAGTCTTCTAGTCCAGCCCACTGCTCAAGCAGGAGACCCTATACCATTTCAGACAAGTGACTGTCCAGTCTCTTCTTAAAAACCTCCAGTGATGGAGCGCCCATGATTTCTGAAGGCAAGCTGTTTCACTGGTTAACTGTCCTCACTGTTAGGAAGTTTCTCCTTAATTCCAGGTTGCTTTCTCTTTGGTCAGTTTCTAACCATTGATTCTTGTCCTGCCCTCTGGTTTTTTGGAGAATAGTTTGATGCCTTCTTCTTTCTGGCAGCCTCTCAAATACCGGAATACTGCTATCTGGTCACTCCTGTTTCTTCTTTTCTTTAGACTAGCCAAACCCAAGTCCTGCAGCCGTTCTTCATATATTTTAGTCTCCAGGCCTTTGATCATTTTAGTTGCTCTTCTCTGAACTTTTCCCAAAGTCTCAACATGTTTTTTGTAGTATGGGGATCAAAATCGGTTGCAGTATTCCAGATGTGGTCTTACTAGGGTTTTATAAAGCGGTACTGATCTTGATTCTATGCCTCTGTTTATACAACCCAGGATTGTATTCACTTTTTTGGCTGCTGCTGCACACTGCTGGCTCATATTCAAGTGATTGTCCACTAAGACTCCAAGCAAGGTCTCTCTCACAGTTACTGTTTTTGAGTCAGGTCTTGCCTAATCTGTACTTATACTTTTGAATTTTCCTGCCTAAATGTAAAACTTTGCTTTTCTCCCCATTAAAATTCATTTTGTTGGATAGGGTCCATTGTTCAAGTTTGTCAAGATGTTTTGGATCCTGAGCTTGTCTTCTGGGGTGTTGGCTATTCCTGCCACCTTAGTGTCATCTGCAAATTTGATGAGTCCCCCTTCTATTTCCTCATCTAAGTCACTTATAAAGATATTAAAGAGTACTGGGCCTAAGACGGAGCCTTGTGGTACCCCACTGCTTACTTCTCTCCATGTGGATGTAGTAACATTGAGGACTACTCGCTGAGTACGGTTTGTCAGCCAGCTACAGATCCATCTGGTGGTGATGTCTATCTATCCCACCTTTTCTAGCTTACTAAGCAGCAGGTTGTGGTCTACTTTGTCAAATGCCTTGTTGAAATTTAAGTATACTATGTCCACAGCATTTCACTGGTCTACTAATTTAGTCACTTTATCAAAGAATAAATAAGATTGGTTTGGCATGATCTGTTTTTAACAAACCCTTGCTGGCTGCTAGTTATAACTTTGTTTGCTTCTAGTTGTTCGCGGATCTGTTTTTTTTATTATCTTTTCCAGGATCTTCCGAGGTATTGATGTTAGACTGATTGGTCTGTAGTGTTGGGCTATAATTTCTTTTTATGTGAAGATTGATGCAAGGAATGAGTTAAACTGTTCTGCTTTTTCCCTACTGCCTGTTACTTCCTTGCCATCTTCTTTCTTTAGTGGACCTACAGTTTCCTTGACTTTTTTCGTGTTATTAATATGTTGAAATAAACTTTTTAAATTGTCCTTGATTTATGTTACAAGTCTTTGTTCATTCCGAACCTTTGCTTTTCTAACTTCATCCTTGCATGTTCTGGATGTCTGCTGATAGTCAGCCTTAGTTATGGGTCCCTCTTTCCAGTTTTTGTAATTGTCCTTTTTGTCTTTTAGTTTGTCAGAGAGAGCTTTATTTAGCCATGCTGGTTTCTTCTTGAATTTCTTGGGTTTTTTTTCAGTGGTATTATGCTGGACTGGGCTTTTATGATCATATTTTTCAGAGTTTCCCATGCTTCTTGAATTGTTTTCCCTTTTGGATTTTCATCCATGGAATCTTTCCTAGGTTTTGTTAAAATCAGCTCTTTTGAAGTTTAAGACACTGGTTAGATTATTTTCTGTTGCTTTGTTTGCATCATATTGAATTTCAGTATGACGTGGTTACTTTCACATCTATTTCTTCTGATTGCTTGGGTAGCCTGTAATATACACCTATGGCAATGTCACTTTCCCCCCCTTTTATATTGACCCATATACATTCTGGAGGGATTTTATCTTTGATCACATGCATTTCTGTAGATATGTAGTATTCTCTTACATACAGTACAACCCTCCCTCCTCTTTTTGTAGATCTATTTCTTCTCCAGCACCGGAGATGGAGAATCCACCAATGGGTTAGCTCTGCCTTCCTGCCCATTAGACCAAGTCAGCCAAACTTGCCACGCCTGTCTTGGGATAAGCCACTCCCAGTCTTGACTTGGTCATGTACTATTGCTTCTAGTTCACCCTGTTTGTTCCCCAAGCTTTAAGCATTTGTATATAAGCATTTAAGAGCTTTATGCCTGTCCCTGGGTATGTTTCCTGCATCTCCTGATTGTTGTTTTGAGTTTTTCTTTTTTCTCATCATTCCCTACCTTATTATTTGATTTGTTTTCTTGGGATTTATGACTGGTTTTGTGTTCTAGAGATTCTAAAGATTGGTCATCCTTCCCCCTCAATTTTAGTTTAAAGCCTTCCTGAGGAGTTAGGCCAGTCTTTTTCCGAGTATATTTTTCCCTGTTTTAGTGAGGTGCAGCCCATCCCTTGCCAATAGTCCTTTACGTAGGAAATGCAGTCCATGGTCCAGGAAACCAAAGTTTTCTGGTGACACCAAATCTTTAGCCAGTGGTTTATTTCTAGAATTCTTTTCCCCCTCAATGGGGGTTGGCCTTTCGTTGGGAATTCTGATGAGAACACTATTTGTGCTTCTAGCTCCTTAACTTTATCACCTAGTTGCTTATAATCTCTCAATATTGTACCCAGGTTCTTTGTTGTGTCATTCGTCCCAATGTGAAGGAGGAGGAAAGGGTAGTAATCTGTGGGCCTAATTATTTTAGTTAGGTTCTCGGCCGCATCTTTGATTTTTGCTTAAGGGAGACAACAAACCTCCTTGGATTGTATGTCTGGTCTGCAGATGACTGATTCTGTTTCTTTGAGGATAGAATCTCCTATTACCAATACTTGCCTTCCTTTTTTGGGGGGTGCAGTCTGGGGTGCTTTTCTGTTTATCTCAGGTGTGTTTGTTGATATGACTCTTTTAGGGGTATTTGGTGTTTCTTTGCTAGGTGTCTGCATGTTTTCTTTGAGGGGGAGGTTGTGGGTCTACATATTTCCATTTAGGAGGAGAAATCAGTTGCTCAGTTTTAATGGGGCTGCATCTGGTTGGGTTAAATTGGGCAGTAGGGGTTTGTTAGATGTATGTTGCTTCTTTGATTATTAGTGATAGGATGCTAAAACTTGCAGGGTTTTAAATATAAATGGACTATTTGATACACATCTGTATCAAATTGCACTTTGAAATATATCTACATGTAAATGTGAAATCAATCAACAACTTCTTTTTTGTTACATAATTCCTTGAAAAGGTGCGACTGACCTCTCAATAGAGGACGTGTGAGCAACCCCGGACAATCTGAAGAATTTTTTTCTGTTTGGATTTGAAAGGTTGTACTGCCCTAATTTTATATAAAACAATACTGTTTAACCTGATTACCACATTTATTCTTTTTGCATTATTTAGCATTCTGACATCCCTGCTTGAGAAAGATTATGACATCTTAAAAATTTGCAAATTAATTAATTAATTTAGTAATTACTGTGTAGATATTCCTTGACTTATAACCAATCCAAAAATGGGAGTTTATGGCCCGGATTTGAAGTTTTGATAGTTGAGGGTCCTCTGTGGTCACATGACCAAATTTTGGATACTTAGCAACCTAACTGCATTTACATGTTTGCAGCATCCCACAGTCACATGACCATTTTTACACCTGTTTTACCAAAATGCATCATTTCCAGTTTTTACAAAACTGCGTTGATAGTAAACCATTGATAGTAAACCAGTCAATTAATGACTGTGGATTCATTTAACAACCTTGGTAATTTGCTTAATAATCATCATAAAAAAGGTTATTTTACAATTATTATGACAACAACTATAATAGATTGCCTCCATTACAGTTGATTATTCGAGGACTACCTGTATATTAGTAACATGACTTTTTGTAGTGTTGTAACAATACAGTCAAGTCTTGATTTAACATACTCTTATTTATTAAACTTTAGATTTTTTTCCCCTTCTGTTTAGTCATGTTCATTTCTCCTGGCCAAGTCTCTTCAGTTTTCTTAACAAGGTTTTTAGAAATGGTTAGTCATTGTCTTCTTGTTAGGGCTAAGAGAAAACAACTATCCCAAAGTCATCAAGTTAGTTTTATACCTAAGGCAGGACTAGAACTCGTGGTCTGCCAGTTTCAAGTGGATGCCCTTGCCCAGAGGTCTCCAACCTTTCTGGGCTCATGGAGGGAAGGAGAGCAGCTTCAAAACTGGTGCGGCACTAGCAGCCCCGTTCGCGCATGCAGCATACGCTGGTGCGGTGCACATTTGCAAATGGCCGTGCACCCCCCCACAGTGGCTAGTGGCCCATTCTCGCATGCTCGAGCGGGCCACACATACCACCCAGGCTAGCAGTGCATGCACAAACGGGCTGCGGACATCTGCCCCACACTAGTGTCCCTGTTCATGCCCACATGAATGCACAAACAGGGCCATGGGTGCTAGCGCGAGTGGGGGAGTATGCACGGTCATATGTGCATCGGCCAGCCATTTCTGCGGCCCCTGCCCTTCACCATTTGCATCAAACTGGTTCCCTAAATTTTGAATGCAGTGGAATAAATTTACACCCATTCTCCCTGCCCCTCTGAAATACTGGTTTTTGCATCAGTATTTTATTCTAATATTTGCATGCTCATATGGCTTTGCTCAGTGTCTTGATGGGAGAAAGACACAAGCTGTATCCTTCCTCTTCCTCAGAGTGAAAAAATGAAAGAAAAGATTCCAACCAAGTGATCCTTTGCATGTTCTCAGTATTTCTGTACCACTTTTGCAATGTTACTTTTTGTTCCTTGCTAGTTACCACAAGGACATTGGGTGCTGCTTTTAGCTCCTTAATTTGTTACATTCTCCATTTCCCTTACAAACCATTGTGTAGCATTGCACTTTTCATCCCATCTGCCACATGTTTGAGTTGGCAGGGGAGCATTTTTCCCCCCATCTCTTTTTATGTGTCTCTTACCAGAAAGAAATACTATCTTCCTTCTCCCTCTGCCCAGGTTTGTGTGTAAGTGTATGTGTTTATACATGAATACATGAACCCATTATCCCAAATAGTCTGTTACTAAGAAAACTTTTGTAAGTCTCTCATGGTTTACTCACATATGATGTTATAATTTTATGATGGTTTGTTTTGGCTATTACTAAATTTAAGTTCTCAATTGAATAAGCATCTGTTTTCTTTTTCTCCTTCCCTACAGAGGTTATTGTGAAACAATAACAGCCTTCATATAAAAACATTTTTTCTGCGTGACGATTGTGATAGAATTTGTAATGTTGATTTATTTCTACCCCTGATGGAGGATTAGATTTCTCACTGCTATACTGGAAGACATTACAGAAAATTCAAAATGTCATCAAATAGGAGTCAGAATCCTCATGGACTTAAACAGATTGGTCTTGATCAGATATGGGATGACCTAAGAGCTGGCATTCAACAAGTTTATACAAGGCAAAGCATGGCAAAGTCCAGGTATATGGAACTCTACACGTATCCTAACAAGTATTTCTAAATAAGTGGCTTTAATGGTTTTATCATCATACTCTTACTCTGTTTCATAACTGAAGTAATGTGAAGCTTGGAATATTAGCTTCTTAAATGCATTTCTGCTGTCTGATTGTGAATGCATGAAATCCAAAATGTATATGTACAAAGAAAAAGATGATTGTTCTCCAGCATGGAAAAGAATGGAGAATCCACGAATGGGTTAAAGAAGTCCTCTAGCCCAATCAGACCAAATCAATCAAGTTGCCACACCCCTGCTGGACTGGACCTTGCCCCCAGTTTCGATTTGGTCTCAGCCCAGGACGGATGTGGAAAATTGGCTCCCAAAGCAGACTTTTAGGAGGACAGGTCGTATTTCTTTTTGTTTGATTCCCATTTGTGGATTTTTCATTCATTTGCCATCTGATCAGCGCTGGGATCAGTGCTGTCCCAGTTCGGCAAGTGTTTCAAAAGAGGTTTCTTAGCTTCCCTGAGGCAGTCTCCTCCCTGCATTGTCAGCTCCGTTTTAAACGCGATGTGGTTTTTTTCCTCTGGATTCATGCTGCCTTACTAAACCTCCTTATCTTGCAATTTGTCCTTCTCTCTTGCTAATTATCAGGCAGAAGGCTGTTCCCTTTGTTTTTTTCAATTACTGCTTTCAGTTATTTACCCGGCAGAAGGTTGTTCCCTCTGGTTTCAATTTCTACTTTCAGTTTCCTTTCTCAAGTTGTTTTCTCTCTGGCTATTAATTTATTGCTTCTTGGATTCCTCAATTGTTTTCTCTGTGGCTATTATTTTATTGCTAATTGCATTCCTCAGCCTGTGCTGTGGGGGTGACTGATTCAGCCCCCACATTGTGATTTCATTGACAGGGCAATCCTTTTCGGGAAGGTGCCTTTTTTGGTAGGAACACTCTGCAATTCACAGTAATCTGCACTTAAATAAACACTACTTACCTTTCCCAGCCTTGAATTGTTCCATCTGTCAGCTGGGCTCAGTTGACTATTCAATCATAGCCTGTTACTGCTGTCTGCATCTAGTGGACCGGCCACTCCTTGGTTATAGCCGCCACTAAGTGAAACACGAAGGATCCGTCACTAAATAATAATAATAATAATAATAATAATAATAATAATAATAACAATAATATATATATATTATATATATATATATATAAGGGAGGGAGAGGAGACCTCCCGTAGTGACGTGTGGCATCTGTCGCAAAGTGTGACTCCGTGCTTAACGGTGGGCCGGACTTCAGTTCCTCATGTAGGCCTGTACCACACCTCGATGGGCCGTAGCCGTATCTCCTGTAGACCAGGACAGCTTCAGCGATCTGCTGGAAAACTGCTGATAATTATGGCGGACAACACCGTTCCACAGGCTTCCATCTCCAGTGGAAATAAGAAACACAAGTCATCCAACCAAGAAGCAGCTGCGAAAATCAAGGTCAAAACCAAAAGAACATCTAAGGCGGCTGAAAAGCAGTCTGGTCGCAGACACAGTGCATTAGAAAGGCAATTTTCCAAAGCCCAAAAGCATGCAGCCGAGGACCCGATTCCCTCGGCTCCTCCTATTGCATCAACAGCGGGGGACCCTCGTCCTTCGTGCGGGCTTGGTCTCCAGAACAGAATCTAGATCAGGATCTCTCACTTGGGTTCAGCCAGGATCACCTTTCTCTTTTTGAGCAGGATCTAAGAGTGCGGACCCAGGATCCGCCACCAGGGGCCGAGTTCACCCCTCCCACAGTGGCAGGTGTAGTCTCGGAGAATTTCTCCCTCGCGGGTCCATCTCAGGCTCCATCAGCTTCATTCACTCCTACAGCGGCGGGACTCCGCTCCCTGGAGCAACCTTCATTTACGAACCAACTCCAGACCATGATTTCTCAGGCTGTTGCTCAAGCTATGGCTTCTTCAGTACATGCCCCAGTGACCCCAGGGACGTCACACCCTTTCCCTTGTGCGAGGACTTCACGGTCCAGGGATTATCAGTACCCAGATCTGCCTTCACCACATTCCTGTGGGAGCGAGGTATCCGAATATTCGGAGCAGGTCCTCGAAGAGGGTCAGTGGTCGGATGATGAGGCGCATACAGAGGCCCCTCCCTTGGTTGGTTTGTTCAATCCTACTTCTTTCTCTTCTCACGTAAGGCCTGCGCCACCGGGAAGATCGAACCGGAAAAGACTCCGGCCCCCGATCAGACACCTGGTCAGGTTACCAGCCCGCTGTTCTCGAACCTGTAGTGACACATCAACAGATTCCTTGTCCTCCCATGTTTCTGAAATTGGTGCGGGATCAATGGGGTTCCCCAGGCACCTTTTCCACCCTCGGGGGGATTGACCGTAAACTCATAGATATGGTTTCGACCCTGAATGAGGCGTTGGAGGTTCCGGGAGTGGACGAGTCCCTTATTCCCATCCTTTCAGAATCCAAGATTCCAGGCGACATGTCGGAGGTGCTGAAGGCTGAGGACAAAAAATCAGAGGTTTCCTTCCATAGGACACACCAGGCCTTGGCGTGGGCGGTAAGAGCTTCCACATCAAATTCCTTTTTCGCCAGGATCTCTCTAATCTGGCTACGTGAACTCCAGTCCAGAATCTTCCCAGGGGAGGTAAGGGTACACCAGGACGTGACCAAGTTGCGGGCAACCTTGGAATACATGGCAGACGTGTCCCTCCAAGCAGCTAGGTTCTCTGCCCGTGCCATAGCCTCCAACATCGCCGCACGTAGATTATTCTGGCTTAGGAATTGGCATGCTGACACCAAGCATAAATGGAGGGTGGCCGCGGCCCCGTACCAGAGCGGTTGCCTCTTTGGGGAGGCCCTCACTCCATACCTGGTGGAAAACAGGGAAAAGAGAAGGGTATTTTACCATCTGTCCAAAAGATCGAGCAGGTGTTTCGCCCCATATAACCGTCGCCCTCCCTTTTGATCGGGATCGGAACTGGCCTCAGGTAATGTATTACAGCCCTTTCCAGCAGGAACGGACCGTTCCTTGGATCGGTCCGGTTACAGAGACAGGCCCAGACAGCAGGTCCCGAACAAACGTTCTTTTCGAGGCAGAGGTCGCCCCTTCCATAGGTCAAGGTGACTTGAGGTGGATCCCTCCCATAGGAGGCAGACTGACTCATTACATTCGCAAATGGGAGGACACCACCACGGACGCTTGGGTGCTCACCACCATCAGGGATGGCTTGTCCCTGGAATTCGTGACAACCCCCTCTTGACGCTACATCACCTGTCCCCAGTTGCAGAATCCCATAAAAAGGCCTCATGCAGGAAGCCATTCAACATCTCTTAAGCATAGAGGCCACAGAGCGGGTACCATCGGACCAACTGGGGCAGGGGTTTTAACCTATCCTATTCGTAGTACCGAAATCTTCAGGAGGATGGAGGGTGATACTAGACCTCAAGGTTCTAAACTCGCATCTGTCGTATTGCAGGTTCAAGATGCAGACACTTCAATCCATCTTGGCCAGCGTACAGCAGGGGGACTTCCTGACATCAGTAGACCTTACAGAGGCATACCTTCACATCCCCAATCATCTGAATCACAGAAAATTCCTCAGGTTCAGGTACTCCAACCATCACTTCCAAGACAAGGCTCTCCCGTTCAGCCTATCATCAACCCCCAGGGTTTTCACCAAGGTCCTGGCAGTACTGGCCGCATATCTCAGGTCGGTCCCAATTCGCGTTCAATGTTACTTGGACGACATCCTGATCCAGTCGTCCGAATGCACTGATGGACCTGGAGCTAACCATAGGGACGCTTCAAGGTCATGGTTTCTTAATCAATTTTCAAAAGAGCCACTTGATTCCAGCCACTTGTCTATTGCACTTAGGCCAGGGGTAGGCAACCCAAAACACTCAGCCACTTGGACCCGTTTCCCACCGAAAACAAAACACTGGGAGCCGCAAAACCCTTTGATATCTAAAATGAAGATAACACTGCATATATCCTTTTTTACCTTTTTTATATATGTGTGTGTCTCTGTGTGTCTGTGTCTGTATATGTTTGTGTGTGTATATATAAAATAAAGGTAAAAAGATATATGCAGAGTTATTTTCATTTTAGATGTCAAAAGGGTCTCTCTTTTCCTTTTTTCTTCTTTTTCTCTCTTTCCTCTCCCCCTTTATCTTTCTCTCTCTTTCCCTCTTTCCTCTTTTTCTTTCTCTGTCTCTCTTTCTCTTTCCCTCTTTCCTCTTTCCTTTCTCTTTCCTCTCTCTCTTCTCTTTCCTCTCTCTTTTCTCAATCTTTTTCTCTTTCCCCCTCTTTCTTTCTCTTTCCTCTCTCTCTTTCCTCTCCCTTTCTCTCCCTCTTTCCTCTCCCCCCTTTCCTCTCCCTTTCTCTCTTTCTCTTTCTCTCTTTCCTCTCTCTTCTCTTTCCTCTTTTTCTCTTTCTCTTTCCTCTTTCCTCTCCTTTTTCTCTTTCCTTTCTTTCCTCTAACTTTCTCTTTCTCTGTTTCTTTCTCTCTTTCCTCTTTCTTCCTCTTTCCTTTAACTTTCTCTCTTTCCTCTCTCTTTCCTCTTTCTTCCTCTTTCCTTTAACTTTCTCCCTTTCCTCTTTCTTTCCTCTCCTTTTTTCTCTTTCCTTTCTCTCTTTCCTCTAACTTTCTCTTTCTCTGTTTCTTTCCTCTTTCTTCCTCTTTCCTTTAACTTTCTCTTTCCTCTTTCTTCCTCTTTCCTTTAACTTTCTCTCTTTCCTCTTTCTTTCTCTGTCTCTGTCTGTCTCTCTCTTTCCTCTCTTTCTCTCTTTCTCTTCCTCTTTCCTCTAACTTTCTCTCTCTCTTTCTTTTTCTCCTTTCTCTTTCCCTCTCTTTCCTCTCTCTCTTTCCTCTTTCTCTCTTTCTCTCTTTCCTCTTCTCTTTCTTTCCTCTCTTTCGCTCTCTTTCCTCTTTCTCTTTCCTCTTTCTCTCTCCTCTCTCTTTTTCTCTTTCCTCTTTCTCTCCTCTTTCCACTCTTTCTCTTTCCCTCTCTTTCCTCTCTTTATCTTCTCTTTCTCTTTCC